AGTGTATATGTTGCTATGAGTCCCATATCGAACAGGACGCGGCACGATGACTGTCGCCCTTTAAGGTTAATAGACCCGAAGTAACGAGCAACACACTCACTGTGGTATGGACACAGCAAGTCTTACAGCAGAAGTGTTTTGTGGGCAGTGAAATGCGTTAATTCGCACTACAGTTATAAAAGTTGTGATGATTTGGACAGTTATTTCGAAGGATGTTTCCAGATAGTGATATAGCAAAGAAATTCACCTGATAGAAACTGACTGAGTTTTTGTCAAATTGGCTGATGTAATAGTAACATGGTTGACACACCATAACTGTCCAGTTACATTCACTACTATGATATTAATTGGGAATGTCAAAACTTGCAGTTTGTTTCGCTCATTATTTATGTTTCCTGGTCATAAATAAATTTGATAAAGTTTATATTGTAGTATTTACTCTGTGTGTATATAATAAAGAATGTCGGTATTGACTTTGGGTTAAACTTAAATGAGTATTCCACTGAAATGCTTTTATATCGACTATATTTCCCTACAAAATTGGCCTGGAATAGCCTGGATTTTCATCAATATTGGGCCTGGAATAGCATGGAATTTTATCATCTCTGGGGTGTACGAACCCTGTGTTGCATTGCCAGTGCACAGCGATGAGCACGTGTTCTTTTACTTTGGGTGTGAAAGATGTATGCTTTGCCATTTTCTCATTAATAACCAAGATGAAAGGTATGACTTACAATAGCAGGTTTGTAGGTTATGTACAGCATATGAATAAAAGTGTGAAATAAGCCAACGGTCTAAATAGTGAGTCACATGACGAAGAGTAGTATACTCCCTGTAAATCAACTCGTGTTTGGTATTTATATGATACCAATTGTAAACTAAACTAAATGTTGTTGGGATGTGGTTTTGAACAAGTGGGCGCGGATAATAAAATATGGGCGTTTTTTGTATTGTAACTCGATATTTATAACTCGAATAATTCAGCATGTCATTGTAAAACATGCCCAGCTTAACAGTGAAGTTGTACTCTCGGGAGGCCGAGGTGACAACTTGTGAAAGATCCTCTTCACAAATGGAGCTTGAACAAGTTTTCCAAAGGTGAGGTTCGAACCCACAACATTAACCACAACAACAATAGCCTCTACGACTTAACCATTGCGAATTCCGACGAAAGAATAGTATGCATTGAATTAACCATAAACCATTGACAAAGTGTATAACAACTATTTTGTATTTGGGTAATTTAACCTGTGTTCAGCTTTGTACAAGGAGCAATGTAACCGATTTCTGTCTCGCACAATATTGTCGTTTTCAACATGCTATAACTCTGAAATTGGTTTCCATAAAAAAAAAACCTTCGGTCTCTTGGTCTATCCTGTAAACCAACGGCCATTAGTTGAATTTCTTATACATATCGGCGTGGTACAATTATTTCAATCCCGGTATGCCAGAGAGATCAATGCGCACGACATAAACTTGAAATCTACAAACTGATTTATTCATGTATAAACACGTACTATTATCAAATGCAATGCAGAATTAGCAATGTCATTGGGATTTTGTAATTGTTTGGATCCCTGTTGTCGGTGCGGCTAACGAAATCAGGATTGGTCTTTCGTGACTACTCGCCGCGTGAACTCTGGTGACGCATCATGATGAACACTGTGACTCAACTTGTTTACTCCCAAACTGGTGGATGGTGATGACTAAAGATGAAATGTAGTTCCAGTATTCAGAGATTCATCATTCCTCTTCCGCAGTGCATGTATCTTTATTAACTGCTCCCAAATGTGGATACTCCCCTATAGTTTTTAGGATTGCTATGTTCCCCATGCACATTTTAGAGAAATTCCTGTGCCGAGAAATTTAAACAGCGGCCCTAAGAATAAATGTGCCGTATGCGGAGACAGCAAGGTAGAACATCACATTTTGGAAATTCAAGACGACTATTCAACAGAAGTATCACCCTAGTTGATTAACGAATATCACTAAGAAATTACTATGCTCTCCCTGCAAACTGATGATTATGCCCGGGAAATGCATCATCCATTGAATCTCCTTCTTACCCTAGCGATAACGTTGATGGCGTTTTTATTTTCAATCAACTGCAAGTGTTCTTTTGCCTGCTTACGATTTATATCGCATCGCTTTTTGAAAATCCATTCAGTTACCCACTGAGACTTCCGCTCTCGTTATTTACTAGTAAATTCAAATTTGTCGAGTCTATGAACAATTTGTTTGCACTGCTCCGCCGGCATCACCAGATAAAATAAACTAATCTATAGTACACATACCTTATCCTAAGATATCTTGCTCGAAGAGATGCATTTGAATGACTGGCGACTAGTACCAATTTGTGACCAATGATTTGTCGTACTGGGAGACGCTAAAAAAAGTCAGTTCACAGTTACTGTGTAGTATTTTAGAAAACAGTGTCATGCAACAGTGGACATGTCTTGCATCTAACATCAGCTATGATAATCACACTCGCGTGTGTCCCAGTGTTTATATGAATTCACATCTTAGTGGGACCAACGGCAACACTATGGTGTCATACTACATCAACTAAATACGGCTGCCACGCTGCAGTTGCTACAGTCTACTGACTACAGTCAGCTGGCGTACAAGCGATAATGCGATGCAAGCCTACACATTATTTTTTCAGAAAGTTGGTCATAAATCGCATAAAATAGCTTTCTCTTGTGTGTTACAGCGACATATTTTGAGAAATTTGACCTAATATTTTTCAAACATCGCTATTTTTGCCAGTGGAACAATTCCATAGATGTTAAACAAAAAATGTTAAACAAAAATTTCATTTTTCGACACTTTTTAAAACCCAGATTTTTGAAAAAAATCAGGAAAACCAAAAGTACCCCATCATTAACAATATATTATTTTTTCAGCCTATGTCCCCAGCCTACAATTTGAGATATAGCATAATATCTCTTCCATAGGAACCCTATGGTCACGGTAAAAGCACTATAATACTGCCAAAATGGCCACTAGCCACTAAAATACACCCATGATTTTCTCGAAAATTAACCTGGTTTACCCCAAATTTGTTTGCCCGGAAGTACAATTTATTAAAAAATGAATAAATTCTGGGTATTTGAAATCATGAGTACCGATATTCACTAAATGAAGAGACAAGTTGAGAAACGTTTTTTTTTTTTTTTGTCAGATTCCCGAAAACCAGGAAACAAATACCAACATTTTACAGCCAAACGGTCCGCAAAATTCGTTGTTGTATGGAAAAATCCCTTTCATGCGAATACCTAAGTAGTGTCTAGAATGTCGATGACGTCACTGAATGTCAGAAAATTTGCCTTGGAAGTCGGTAAAATTTGCCCTGGAAAATCGATAAAGTTGACTTGCAAGTCGATGTTATTGCCTGGAAAGTCATGAAAGTTGCCTTGGAAGTCGATAAAGTTGTCTGACAATATGATCAATAAATAAAGCTGATCGATTTATTTGGTTATCTAGTGGATTATGAGCCTTTTGCGAACCAGGCTGATTTCAAAATGAAATATATATTTATAAACATGGGTTAGTTGACTGCAATATATGAATAACATATCTGTTAATAAGAATATTATAATAAAAATTTTAAAATCGTCAGCTCCCAGGTGGCCCTGGCATTCGCTCTGCATTTGTTGACATGCACGAGGAAATGTCTAACAAACAATTAATTGCTGACAAAGCCGCTTAACTTCGGAATAAAAGTGTCAATTATATTACCTTTTATTCAGTTCATTTTATATCCAGATAAACGTACCGAAGTCTTTCTAGCTTAAATATAGCACTGTTCAAAGTTTATCTTACATATTCTGCTTCAGTTTTAGTTATTTTTTTGGAAAATCAACGTAGTGAGGATCTTTCTCTGTTGGCTTAGGGAGTTCAAAACTCAAAATGGCTGTTCATGGTGAGCACGTTGCTGGTGATTCCGGTCCGAGTTTACAGGATCGTCAGCTGCTGGATACATTTTGGGAACTTGCGTCACCGAAGGACGGCAAGAGGGTAGCCGGAGCACAGAAGCTTGTTGAGATTATTGTGAAGAAACAGAAGGAACATACAACACGAAAGAATGAAACACAGGTTAGATATGTTAATGTGTGGCCACTGGGCAGAGAGAGAGCAACGATTCACTTTAATGTTGGCAAACACGAGCAACTTTCAAAATAACTTGATTCGGACAGGCTCGTAATTGTCCGTACAAACTTCGAACTCACAGAAAATGCATGTAATTCTTTCTTTGTAATACTTGTTCGTTTTTTAGAATGATGATTATTGTAAAGAACTATCTTACACTTTGTCAAGACTGGTTAAAGGACTGGCCTCGTCAAGGAAAGGCGCTAGGCAAGGTTACGCAATGGCATTATCTGAGGTTAGATGATTGTACTATAATCTATGTTTTGCTGTACTTCACAGTGTGATAGCTGGCTGTATAGTAATTAATAATAACTACAATTGCCCAAATGCAAAAACAAACTGATAACTTGACATGACATTGTTTATGACTGGAAGTTCGAATGACAATAGTACAGAAAAACTACATGAAATACAACAAAAGCATATTATGTAGCGGGTAATGTCTGTTTGTGGTGATTTACTAAATAAAAAAAATTTGAAACGTGTGAACTGCAGACATGCATGAGTTGAGTGTGATTTGTGATGGTGTTATTAACAATGCTCAGAGTTAAACTGTTGTCATTCCATGATCAGAAAATATTGTTCCATGCATGAGTTGTCATGCCTTGCACAATTTTAACAAACAAAGTTGTGTCGTCCATGAGCCTGAAATGTGATCGGAATCATTCGCTTATGATGAAATAAGTTGAAATTTATTTGCATTTCATAACAATTCAACGAATTTATTTTTTGCACGTTATTATAATCATTACTAGGTAATAATCAACAATTGTGAAACGCAGCATGCTCGGATTGCGCTACCGTGATCATTTGCAACTAAACAATGCAATTGGGTTCGTTTTTATTTTAAACTTCTTTTAGAATATACTTTCGTTACTAATAAAATGAAACAAAATAATTGTATTTGGTGCACAAGGTTTATTAATGTGATTTTTGTTGTTGAGAAAGATGCTTGGTCTACTTTTTAATCCAGCAAGAAAAAAATGTATAACATTTTAGATTAGCTTCTGGGATACGTTGTGGTTTCTTGCATTTTGGGTGGTCCAACTGCCGGTGTTGAAAATTGGCATAAGTGGATTTTGCAATGCAATTTTGCAAGCCCTCAAAAAATATTTAATGATCATTTTTGGAAATTTTGAACCCCAAATAAGGGCCCACCAGCTGTGAAACCGCCAGGGAAATTTTTCGGATGGGTGAATTTAAGCCAGAATCCGGTACCATCTAAAAAGCTTGTTTTGCGAGCAGCCACAACTCACCAACAACATATGTCAGTGTATAGTAATGACTGAAAAGGATACACTGGATTGCAGAAAGCTGAGACACAACAAATAAATCAACAGCAGTAAAACTCTGCTATTTCACAGTGATAGAGGGACTGTGGCTATTTGAATCAATCTCTAATCTAACTAGTAACTAACTAAATAAATAAATGAGTTTTTGAGCTGATCTTATGTACTCAACTGATTAACCGTTATTGTTCTCTAGATTCTACAGAGTAACAGTGAAGTGAAAGTGGAAGATATTCTTGATCTAATTGAAGAACACCTTGAAATTAAAGGAAGAAAACAGGTAAGACTTCATAGCTACATGTATAATAGTTTATTTCAACACTAAATTACAAATCCTTTATGATTTAATTTTCTTCATGTAATGTTCTTCATTTTTCATAGGATGAACGATGTTGTGCGTTTGGTCAACTTTTCGCATTCCTCGCAATTGTCCAGTCAGGAAGAGTGTTTCAGGTGACAATGGATCTTGTATATTTTCCTCAAAAAAAACTTATATTTTACTTTAAGTAATTTTTGTGTGAATAACACACCTTACAGTCTTGTAAAGTGCTTTATTTTCACTTGGATTTTATTTTTGCTATTTTCGTTGAAGGGATAATATAATTCAGTGAAAATATCCATTCTCTATATTTTACATTTTACTGATCAACAATAAACTTCATACAAAACGACCAAAATGTCTTTTTACAGAAAATTTATTCTAGCTCGGTATTTTACATTACCCGGTAGTTTGTGTATGAAATATGTACCGATACACAATGTACGGTATTCACCCAGCCTCTCCATAAATGAAGAGTTTACAATTTTTTTCATGCACATATTTTAATTATTCTCAGCCAATGAATAAATATACAGGGATGTTTTATGTCATTAAAACATCAAACTTAAAATCAAGACAACAAAGAATGATCTACAACTGTAACTTGCATGATATATATTTATATAATGTCCAGTACTTCTCTGCATTGCAGTGTTATAAAGAATCAGAAATGTTTGAATTTACTTTTTCTTTGTTACATTCATTTATCTGTTATTGTATTCTCATTATTTCGTAGGCACCAGACCAGTATTTAGAAAAACTTATAACAGAGTTGTATAGATTGAGTCATATCAAACCGTATTTGAATGATGTCTGTACGCAGGCAATGATTGACATTATTAAACAGGTATGTAGTATAACTTCTGTCTGATCAGTTCTCTTTAATTATGACTCTGAATGCAGTTATGCGCATCCTCATTACTGTATTTGGTCCTGATATCCTTTCACAATTTGTTTGTTGTGCTTTACCCCCCCCTCAATTAGCATGGATGAGGTGATTGACATGTGTACCATGCAGTTTAGAATGAATGTTTGTACATGTACAACTATTAATGCAGAGTGCATTGGAGGTAATGAAATCAAAACCAGGTCTTCAATATTGAACTTGAATGTATTTATATATAATTTTAATTGCTGATACAATGATTAGCATTTATTATGATTTCATATTTAATAGGATTGATATTTACCGTATTTACCCGGGTATAAGCTCAGGGTTCTGAACATGGAAAATTGCCAAAAATAGGGGTGGGCGTTTGCCAGGATATCCCGGGCAAAAAAAAAAAAATTCGCGAAAATTGACAACACGCAGATCGAACTGCGGCAGGGAATAGAACGGCAAATGGAAACATGCAACAGAAATAAATGAACAATATGCAGCATTAGAAGTAAAACAAAACTAATTTATTGCTTATTATGTGACAAATAAACCAGAAATAGTAAAAATCGACAGTGAGGAATCATTTGAATTAGGATTTTCCCGCCGACAAACACGCCCAATATGCATGAACTCAAAATGAATTAAAATGTCAGGGGTTAAACTGCGTAAAATGATTTCCAGTCTCGACAAATTACGAATCAACTGTCATACAAGATCAATAATAATTTACAAATTCACCCAGTAAAAATTATAAAAAATTCATAGCTGTTTGAAAAAACTTCTCAGATCTTTATGTGTACGTTTATTGCCATCTTCGCTCCATCTTCGTCAAACTCAAAACCCTCAAAGTCCAAGTCGGCGTCACTGTAACCGTCGAACAAAATCCCTACAACTTCTTCCTGAAGTTCGTCGATATTGTCCCACACAATTTGGACATAGCACTTTTAATCCACGGATTTCGCAGTCTGTCAGCTTGGCACTTTTCATTCATGTCTAATCACAATAAAGAGACAAGAAAAATGGGGTCGCTCTGCTGCGATGGCACACGATGCTTTTGTTTACAGTCTGGCAATCATCTTTGACCTTTGTGCATCAGCTTTACTGATTGGTTAAGAATGACATCACGTCTTCGGCATGACATTGAAAACTAGCTGGCCCCAGTTATGGATTCGCAAGCTGCTACCAAATATTTTATTAAGCCAAAAAAATGTGATTTCAACCACTCTCCCAGGTACGGGTTGCTATAATGTAGTAACATTGGTTTCATTGTCGACGACGCTAAAGCCAAACGAGTGCGACACTTGCTTAGCAGCTCTCCTTATACGATTTGCTTGAATCGTTTCTAGGGAAGCACAAACCAAACGGGCGGCCCTTTTTAGGGCCACGTCATATTTCAAAAAGAGAACTACCGTTTCTGCTTTGTAATATATATTTTTATAGACTTGCCAACTGTTATGATTCTGAAAAAAAATCTTGCAAAATAAATGTAAATCAGCGGTGAACGTGCTGCCCTGAAGGCAGAAAGCGAAATACCTATTTTGCTGTCACAGTTATTTCGCATTCACCCCTTGTTTTACGCAATTAACAATTATATTTAAAGAATGTTTATAAGCATCACAACAGACTGCAGGAAAGTCAACTGTTAATACAACCACAGTCAACGAATAGAAAATAGTTTTTTGTTATTTTTTTGTAGAAAAAGACCCCCTGGACATGTGCCCCGATATGACCTCAACTTCTTTATTGTGTCAAAAGTGGGTGGGTGGGTGGGCGTTTGCCCCGACATGGGCTCTTACCGGATAAGTACGGTAATATATGATCATTTTTTTTTTTTTAGTGTCAAGTTGAAGATTTCCAGAAGTATGCATGGCCAGTGATAAAGGAAGAGTTACAGAAAGGTTGGGAAAAATGTACACCTGGAAGATTACAGTTACTTCTTATTTGTCGTAAATCATTTCCCGTAAGTTTATATATTGTGTAATGACACCATAGCAACCATAATGAATCAGTAAATGCATGAATTATTTGTTGGTTTTTCATAATTTCGCTGATAAGTAAAATTCACTAAATTAAATCTACACAAACATGGAAAATAACAATAGAAGTCATTGTTTCCCTGCCAAGTTCATTAGCATGATCAAAATAGTGAAATGCTAACACTGAGCATCTCCAGGTATTTTTGTCGCAACCACAGAAACCTTTCAAATATGCGTGTCAAATATCATTGTATCTTGTTCATTTAAAAACAATGACACAGCACCGTACGCTATCGTGTACATGATTATTTTGAGTTAAACATTTTAAGGGAAATATAATTGCTTGAATTTTCTTCAAGCTCTCTTATAGTAGAAAGTAATTACCTCCACTACAGTAGTGATTAATAAGTACTGTTTGTTTTACCTTATTTCAGCATGCCGTGAAGTCAAAGTTTTTGAAGTCACATTGGTCACGGAAAGATATCACACATGAAGAAAATCTTAATCACATTGCACATGTTTTAGAAGTAAGTTTTGTTTCTTTTCAAAACACATAGGATGAGTTTTTTTCTGCCTGCTCTAAGTTTAGAATTTGAGGACCATGATTAATGTTAGTTGCCTTGGTGATAATAGTTATGGATATAGTGTGTGGTTTTGATTAACCAATGAAAGGAATGCTAAACATTATTCTCAAAAGAGGAGAGAGGGGGTTACTGAGGGCTGAATATACAACCATGTATAGTGTATTAAAGTACTGAGCCACAATCCCCAGGATTGCACTAGTGCATTCTGGGAAACACAATTTGAATGACCTCCTCATCATTTGCTAACCAAATAAATGGAATAGTTGAATAAACAGTGATTGACAGTCTTTTTGAAAACATGTCTTCTCATCAATTTTTAGATGAGAATTAAATCTTGACTATAAACTAACATCAAAATCATATTGGACAGATAAACATGCTTGCATACGATAACAAAATAAAATACTCCATACATTTCTGATCATCCAAAATGGCATCATCCATCTGTCCTTTTTACTCCTAGAACCATGGTATAATCATCATGTTAAAATGTTTAGTTTAATAAATCAGTTACAGCTTTGTATACAAATTGAAATCCAGGATCTGAATAATATTTTAACAGTACATTGGTTCTGACACCAGTAGCCACCAGTCCATAATAATGTTGTGAACTTGTCAGGTCTGGATCTTCAATTTTATCATCTAAGCATCAAAGTCTACTTTGGTCACCTTTCACAAAATACATATGCATAATTTTATTTACATTTTTTTTTTACGTAACTTTGAATTATCCCTGTAAGAATTATGTCCATTTGGTCCAAAATTAACCAAAAAATTACTAAAAAATACATAAAAAAATACATAAAAAAATACATAAAAAACTGCAAAATGTACTTGTAAGCATGGAAATTTGGTGTGACAAATTACCAAAATTGTTACCAATAATGTTATCTCCTTTTACAGGAATCAACCATCAATTCTCATCCAAACATACACAGTGTGTGCAGGGAGCTGCTTATGCTATACTCTGAAGACTCCGACAAACTGATCATATTTTGGGATCATGTTGTTGACAAAGTTTTGTGCAATTCCACTTACGAGAGAAAATATCTGAGTTTTAAATTGCTGGAGCTGACCGTCACTCTGGTGGATGCCAACGACATGTCTGGGATATTCAGTCATGATTTGGTGCGATGTATTATGAATAGTTTAGTAAACAAACAAACTTTTCTACACGAGGCAGCGAAGGAGTTGGTAAGTCTGGTAGTTCTACCACTGTACATATATTACCGTTATGCTATTTGCTCTCTTAGATGTATATAAAACCAATAGTCACGTTCACACACAGTAACTTAGCTGGGTAACTTAGACCTTAGTCTGTATTAAGAAAACACGCATGAATAACTAGTACAAGCTAAATCTGATCCAAGTGCAGTCTAGATTCTTAGTATGGATTAACGAATTGTTGTTGGATGGTCAGCTTTGGCTTAAGCGTCCGCTGAGATGAAACATTGCAACAAGATACCATTGAATTTGTTGTCCATTTGAAAGATTTCATTTTCTATTCATCACTATTCATTTTGTTATGTTCCCACCTTGACAAGCATCCTTAGCACTTCCAGAGAAATTGATTGAAGTGTTGATGAGACACTGTAAATGTACTACTGTTCAGCAACTTACACTTTCTGAATTTGCATTGTTATGAAGCTGAAATTTATAACGTTAAAAGGATTGGAGATTTTTATATTCTTTTCAAGTTTGGCTATTCCTTAGTCCATACTAAATGTAGGCATTCCCATTCTTGAACACAACTAAGACTAACCAATATCAGTGTTCTCAACAAGGGGTTTTACGTTGGCGGCCCGCCATCAAGTTTTACGTTCGCCTAGTTACTCTCAACACCCGCCTACCAACGTACATTCAGCTGAAATTATTTGTAAAAAGCTTGCATTGTTCTTCCAAAGCCTAAACAAAAGAGTAATTGCCCAACCCTTTATTTTGCTATTGTTTCAAGTGTCCAGACATAAACAATAACCACTGGAAGTGTGCAAGCAGTTATCAAGTGTATTCATGGCAATGTGTCAATCGCCTGAATTCATTGTCGCCCGACATTGTTGCTACTTATTGCTCACAATACGCAACTACATTGATTTCAATTTACAGCTGTATTTTTAATAATCGTTTTCCGATCACGAAAGAAGGAAGTAAATACGAACGAATTGTATATGCACAGAAAATAAACAAGTGATTGCATGTAAACTCGAACAAACATTAAAATTCTAGCCGTATTTACAACGTTGATTTTTATAGTGAAAATAGCATGGAGAAGGCAAACTGATGACCTTTTGGTCCACCCCATTCAACGACCGTCGGCCACCCACCGCTGTTGGCGCTATAACGATTTAGTATCTAAGTTGCATAGGGGAACAGCGCATTCTAGGTGTTCATGTACTGAATTCGGAAAGCGGTAAAAAACACCAAACATGGCTGCCGGATTAGTTTACCCGCGAGTATTTGTAATTGGCAATTGAATACATATTTTAGTTATCTTTTCCACATACTTTTTTCAATTTATCGATTTTTTATGTCGAATCTTTCAAGAGCATAGCAGATTGCTAGCATTTTTTCTTGAATTCAAAACAACATGTGAAAACGCAACGCAACGTGTCGTGACCGTACATGCGTAAATGTATCATCCGTCGGCACAGGTGAGTACTGATGCCACAAATAAAAATGTTATGGGTTTTATTTTGACAAATCGGTCGTTTTGGCTTTGGGGACAAGTCACCTTGTATATTTTCTACATTATAACTCAACTATGTTTTTTACTTGCTCTTCGTTACTCGAATTGCATTTCATGAACGCAGAATAATTTGAGAATGTATAGATCACCAATTTCAAATTTTCGTAAATATTGATATTGACCAATCTGTTTGTATTTCAAAAGATTGTAACATGTTTCAATTAAATTAAAAAAAAAGTAAATAACTTAGTGTGTATTGCAGTTCACGACATAAATACTAAAAT